TCAGTTAAACTACGAGTGTTACTTTAGCCACTGCAATGTAAAAAAAAATTATACATATTCATATGTATACACACACACAAAACATTTCTGTACATATTTTAATGTACATATACCAGTCGGTGCATTATGTAAGACACACACACACAACATTTCTGTACATATTTTAATGTACATATACTAGTCGGTGCATTATGCAATATATAAATACCACACACACTACATTTCTGTACATATTTTAATGTACATATACCAGTCGGTGCTTTATGTAAGACACACACACACACACACACACACACACACTACATTTCTGTACATATTTCAATGTACATATACCAGTCTGTGTATTATGTAAGACACAAATACCACACACACACTACAAAATATGCCCCCCCCTATATACAGTAATTTGGACCCTGCATTTATTTACCTATAATTGTAGTTACAATACTGGCTGAATCGGGCCTCCTTTTGCTCCCCTTCCCCCTAAATTGTGGGGACTGCAGGACATACTTACCGCCCCCCCCCCATTGGGAATAACGTACCTGAAAGTCCCACTTCTTCACGGTGCTTCGCTTCCTCAAAAAGAGGATCATAAATACCAACAGTCCCATCCTTCCGCAGGACCACCAAATAAGGATGTCCCACTTCCTCAATAACTATCACTTCCGTGATGTACTGACTGAGAACTGACAGGAACTCAAGTGTCATGGTATCCCTTTGTAGTCTGAAGACAGCGATGGTTTCTATTATAGAAGGAAGTTCAAAAAAGAACAGTCTAAATGATTTGACAGAAAATAGCAAAAAACAATGTTACCAAAAATATGACACGCGCATATTGAGAGAGTTTTAGCCATTCTTTACTTTTTTTTTTTGTCAAGACTTTGATATAAACATGTACAGAACTAAACGTTCATCTCTATAACAAATGATAGTTATTGAAAATTCAAACATTTATCTACCCCTTTCCCTCCACATCGCATACATGGTTACTCTTAAACGAATAGCGGGAACGATAGTTACTTGTAACGTACCCACAGCTAAGAGTGTTAAGCCTATTTAGTCCTATCACGGAGCCTGCAGTGTTTGCGTTTACTTGTGGATAACAAAGATTTAAAATGTTCAATATAACAAGTTCATACTAAAGTTCTTTAGTAGGACAATTATACGTACAACTTTAATATTTACCTGGAGAAGTATTGCTCACGGATATCAGGTATTCACTGTCCGGCTGTTTTGATACATACCACAGAAGAGACTCGTCGTGGACTAGCTCTGTTGGATAAACAACATTAATAAGGTTATATTCAGTTATTTGAGCGATTAACTTACTGGATCTGAAGCTACCCGTAAAATGTATTTTAGCATCACGTTCAAATCCCCCCCCCCCCTCACCCTACAACTAACTAAAAGTAGGTTACTGTTAAAGCTGGTTCACTTGTTAATACAGTAAACTTGCCCAATAGATGTAGTTCCTCACACCCTACAACTAACTAAAAGTAGGTTACTGTTAAAGCTGGTTCACTTGTTAATACAGTAAACTTGCCCAATAGATGTAGTTCCTCACACCCTACAACTAACTAAAAGTAGGTTACTGTTAAAGCTGGTTCACTTCTTGCTACAGTATACTTGCCCAATAGATGTAAAAGTGCAGTGTCTTCACCGGGATGAGGTTGGTGTTATTGTTCGAACACAAGTATTCTAGTATTACATCACTTGTTTACCTCGCATAGCCTTTGAGATTAGCATGGGGGGGAGGGGGAGGCTGTACACCATGAAATTGAGAGTTTTCCTCGTATTGAAGTTCAGAACGTTGTTCTCCGATCAATCCTCCCCAGGAATAATCGGATATAATCCTCAAGATAGAGCTTCGATAAAGAATGTATGACGGAGTAAATGTGAATTTTTAAAGTTTAACAGTTGGGAAGACTGATTGGCCCACTTTATCTGAAGCTGCCGATTAAGCACTTGTGGTTGTCAATATTATGAAGTATTAAACTGTTGATACTTGGGTTAGAGCTGCGACACGTGCCAGTTCCCAATACACCTGTCCTAAAGTGTTAAACTGTTGATACTTGTGTTAGAGCTGCGACACGTGCCAGTTCCCAATACACCTGTCCTAAACTGAACGAATTCGAGACTTGCAACAAAATTTAAATCTAACAGTAAATCGCCGATCTTTAAATTTTATAAAAGTTACACGAAAAGCTTGTAATCTTTATCGGTGATCTTGTATTTATCCAAGTGTTCATTCATTACAACACTTTAAATAAAGTTGTTAGTGAAAAACTCTGATCAACTTTTCTTAAACAACCCGTTTGTTGTACTTACGGAATTCAACCAATGAAACAACCCGTTTGTTGTACTTACGGAATTCAACCAATGCCCTGTCCGGTCGGTAAGAATACACGATCGTTCTCAAGTGATGTTCTTCATCATAGATCCAAGCTATTATTACCAGAAATGTTCCCATGTTGAAAGACTGCAGTCGAGTTCCGCGATATTCAAGTTGCATGTTCATCACCCAATAGTCTAAAGTCGTGAGACATTCTAAAAATATATTACAGAAATAGTTAGGTATAAAGGGGAACTCGATATACAGTATTTGATTCGGCGAAGAACAAGCCAAGTCACAAGTAAGCTAATATAAAAATAAACCAATCAAAGTACTTCGTTACCAATAACCATGCCAGCCTAACCCGGTTTTACGGGAATTTAAGTCAATTAAAATATTGTCTTGATATGAAAAGCAAACATTCAACAATAAAAATAATTCATTGTTAATTGTAAACTTCTACAATAGGGATGTGTTTTACATACTAAAGGAATTGAACCCAGAATTACGAGCCCACTCATCACAACCTTATCGCGCACCCACTGGAATGAGCGAGTGAGAGTGGGGGGGAGGGGGAGGAGGGGGGGGGGAAGAGACAAATACTGGATTGACTTTAAATGAAGTCAAAAAGTTTGATAATTTTTCTGTGCAGTAACGTCAAGTCAGGATAAAACCCCAATTATTTGTTTTTCACAAGATATATTTTCCTGAATGGAACATAACGAATTATTTCCCCAAAAGTTTAAGATCAGCGATGGAGATTTAAAAATTATCCTCGAAGTAGAGGCGTCGGAATATAGAATGTCCACTTTTATATAATACCTATATAACAACAGTCACTTGTACGTTAATTTTCAGACATGCGTAGATCGAGTTGCTTTTAGTTCCTGATTATATTCTCTATCTCTCATTGTAAAATTTGTATGTCTAGCCAAACAAGCTCGTGTTGACACATTTTCAGGGTTACATAGTCTTGTTGAACTCACTTTAGAAAGGGGTTATTATTTAAAATTCGTTAATATCCGACGTTGACCGTGCGCCTGACTAGTTTATACAAGTCTTGTTTCTCGCTTCGCCAGATTTGTACTGAAATTACTCAAACAGAGGTTAAAACTGTGAATTAACTTCATTTTAATATTATTTCTTAAAAGAAAGAAAAACAAACTCGCGAAGCAGTATTTTAGGTTGGGCTCGAAATCCACGTACAAGAAAACTCTTCAGAAGTGTAGGAACTTTCTACCGGTGGAATTTTTAGTCGAACAACTTGCATTCTTACTGGGTAAGTAATTCTAGACTGGTGGTAATAGAAATATTGAAAATGTAGACTATACAGAAATGTTTTGATCCCAGTAGTAGTTGGTCTACTTGAGGTGACCGCTACCGCCTCCTACGTTTTCAAAAATTTCGGGGGAAATAATCTTTCCTTTGATCTCCCCCCCCCCACCCCAGTGGCACAGCGGTATGTCTGTGGACTTGCAACGCTAAAAACCGGGTTTCGATACCCGTGGTGGGCAGAGCACAGATAGCCCATTGTGTAGCTTTGTGCTTAACTACAAAACAAACAAACCTTTGATCTCCCTGTTACTGCTTTACCCATAAATTAAAGTACAAATGGTTTACAGATATTTTATTAATTCAATGAGTGTTTAAAATTAGACATTTTATCTTCACTGGTCGTATGGTAAATGAATTTCTGCCTACGACAGAAGACAAGACGATTCACTGGCAAGACGACACGCTAGTTAGAAGTATACACCTACGAACACGTGTTAGTACAATTTGTAAAATTGAAATTTTATCTATATATGCAGTTCAAGCTGTACACTTGACTTTTGTTCAGGTTTGGGTGTTTAATTAAAACCTTTCTAATATATTCTTTTGCGTTCGTGTATTTTTAAAATTCGAGTTTCATTACGTTTATATTCTATGTTTTAGTATCTGATTAACTGTCCATGAAATTCGACGACACTTTCCACTTAAACCAAAATTAACGGACATTTTAATTGTATACCTGCTAGATGTTGCAAGTATTCAATGACCCTCTCGTTGTTGTAGGTTTTAACTGCTATTTCTTTAGTCCTCCTGTAGAGTTCCTCCAGCGAGGTATCCTGATGTCCAAACTGAACTGGACCAACGAATATAAACTCTTCTTCGATATTTTGGTCGGTGTCCAGCAGAACTGCTTCAGAGGTCAGCAACGTCAAGTTTACGTTATTTATTAATCCTGAAGAGAAAATAAAGATTACTTGCTCAATTAAAACCACTGTCACTATTAAAAGTTAATATGACAAAAAGATGCACTCGCACATATTAAATATTCACTGTGGTTTATAGAGTAAGATTTAGGTAGCTGGTTGAAAAATGTCCAATAAAAAGAGTTAAAACCGCATAGGCGACGAAAATATCAATAGTAATGACTGGAGACGGCTTGAATTGGTAATGAAGAAAAACTTTAATATAACTTTAACATAACAGCAAATGTACAAGGTTTTGTCATCATAAGCCGTCTCCAGCCATTATTAGTCTCAAAGTGGGTTCCACGTCACCGAAATTAAAATATCAATAGGTTGAGCAATCGGCAAGTTTTAACGTTTATTTAAAAAAGGATGACGTTTCGAGCGAGCACTCTTAGTCAGATCGTACAGCTAGGACTAAGTGACATCCTTCTCCAAGTAAATAAATATATTGCGACTGTTCGGCTTATTTAATTTTAGAAATGTCCAAGAGAATTTCAGTGTATAGCCAAATAACTAAAGTGATGAAGGCTTTGCTATAAAAATAAATTAAGATACTAAAATAGTCGACCAAATATTTAAGTTTAATATTTAACAAATTAACGATTAGTTTATAAGCAGTATTTTCAGAATATTGGCCAATACCACACGTTTATTGCACTGCAGTTAAACAACAATACTGGGTTAGTTGATTTGAATTTTCTTCGATCAAAAGTTAAATGTTAATTAACAAGACCTTCAGTGATCAGAAATCACGTGCACCAACAAATGAGAATCGTTACTTAATCTTGGAACTATTATTAGGAGACTGTATATGTACAGTTTTGTAAACTAATAAAATTCGGTATTTGTAAACTTAAGTAGTATTTTATCAATCTGCTTTATAATCCATGTACACCACAAGTGACTGGCTTCTCATATAAAACAACTTTCAAAACTAGGGATATAACAGAAATTTATTCTGCATGCTTGAAGGATTACTCTAACTATGTGACTTTGAACAATGCTGGATGACAAATATCAATATGGTTTACAAATTATGTAAGTACACCTAGTAGGCTATTAGTTCCAGGTTTACAGTTGTGATATCGCGAGATGTTATCTTGTGACTTTATTTTAGGCCTGTGTAAGGCGGTATTTAATTCTTTATGTTACTGTTATTAAGTGGGTAATGAGTCACAAAACAAATAATCAAAACATTTCAGGTGTGGGGGCGCCAAAAGTGTCTTTGCCCCCTGGTGCTGAGAACCCTTACTACGCCACTGGGATGCATTTGTTAAATCAAGTTATAGAATGCTCAATGTATACAGCAGAAGCTTCTACAATAGTATGTGATAAATAAGAAAATAGAATGCACTAATAATGGAACTAAAATTGCTATGGTGTTGAACGATGTTACAAGAAATAGGCAAGAGTAATTAACTAATTAGTTATTCAACTTTATTTACACAAACTCGCGATACTGTTGTCATCAGGCTGCGTTCACTTTCACAGAAGTTGTAGACCTAAATTCATTAACGTTAATAAGAATTTCTCGTTAAATGGTAACTAAGCCTAACTTAGCTTTGATCGATAAACAAAAAGACGTAACTGCAGAGTAGAATGTAATAAATAATCTTAACATTGAACTGAAACACTCTTGATTCACTTATGTATTTATCATGAACCTTTGTTTCTAAATATTTCATAAAGCTTCTTTATCCTTAATATTAGCGAACGTTCTACCTATTGCGCCATCGTAAAAAGGAGTTCCTCTAGCAAAGGGACATTAAACAACAACAAAAAACATTGAAAATATTGTTTACAAAATTGTTCAGTTTACAAGGTTTTTTCTTCGATGTTAGTTAAAAATATAAAAACTTAATCTAATCCATTTCGAAATGGTGACTATTTATATTTAGATATATTCTTAGATCAGGTATTTCAAAATTTTAAGGGAAGCCTACTTCTCGAAATACACTGATAGAACACGAAAACTGAAACTTCTATACACAGGAAGATAGTTTTATTTTATCCCCGACTTCCTATATTAAACAAATATCACTTCATAAAATGCAGAGAATGTTTTGTAACTTAGGGTACAGTCAGAACAAAAAGTTTCCTCCGGACCAACTTGTTTGTGGTTGTTGACGATGTATTCTAATTTCCACTCTTAGTTTGTACGAGATCTGGTCCCATTATTTTAACATGTCACGATCTGAAACATGCTCGTAGATCAAATACGAAACTTGTTTATAATGAATAGTTAATGCTCACCAATTATAGTACGGGATTCGAACCATAAGCCTCAAGTTCTTTACTCCTACAAGTAACATTAGAACATATTGGAGCTGAATTATAAATCAATCGCTTATGTATTTTCTTAAATATATAAATGTAGTGATTGATCAGTTAAAACCAACTCAAAAATAACTTGTTAACTACTGATATATTATACCTTAGCCAGAGTAGTTCTTGTACCAGCAAGTTTATTTTCCGATCTACTGAATTCCTTTCACGATAATATAAACTGTTTCACAGATTTCCAGTTATTTTGACCGTTTAATTGTTTAACGTCATTATACTCGTAGGTTTACCTTTATCCAAAACTGAAAACAAAGTATTTCCAGAGTTGAAAATGAAGTTCTGTCCTTGAAAAATAAGGGGTTCAACACACAATCAATGTAAATATTTTAATTTTGTTTCATAATTGTTATACGCAGTTTTCTTAGGACACCAAGAATTATTTAATGGTTTGATAAACACCACCTTTGTCCGAAACTGAAAAGTCCATTATACTCAGATGGAGCCTTCATTTTAAAACAAAAGGCGAAAGTACGAAGTAATTTGAATCTCTCAGAAAATCTGGTTCAATAGGTAGGTTATTAATTTACCTAGTAATAAGTTAACGTTTTGTAGATGACTTTGTTAACCTACGTGAAGTATGAAATGTTACTTACCTCTTAAGTTTCCATTAACCCTGAAACAGTCTTTGAAGTGAAAAGTGGGAGATATTTCAGAAGTATCCGATGACAAAGAAACTTCATTTATTTTTGCAGTAGAAACATTTACAAGAAATATAATCGTACCCTGCGAATCAAAGACAATTTATTAAATAATGTTCCAATAAATTTAAAAATCAAAAACGAAATTTCTAAATATTTGTTAAATTTTCTTAAATTAAGTACTTGTTAAGTAATTAAGTTTTTCTTCTATAGTTAACAAGGTGTTCGCATTCAGTTTACAGAAATACATAGTTTGAAACGTAGGGAATCATGTTTCAAGTGATAAGCATACATAAAATAGGCTAAAACTAGGTTTTAAGACGGATATAAAACTACATTTACCAGATTAAGTTTATCCTGTAACGTTCATTTAACAAGTTGTTAATTAAACATCTCCACTGCTTGCAACTAGTGTGCGTGTCATATAGACACCAGTAATGACGGGACTTGGTATGCACGAAATTTAAATCTTTAAACAATCCTTTAAAGACGTAGCGCTTAGTTTTTTTACGATTTCATTACGATCGTCGAATAAGATCTATATTTAATCAAAACTTCAATGAAAAGGTAAACTATTTACAACTAGCTACAGTACCCAGAGTACCCGTCCCTTGGACAGAAGTTAACCTTTCATTAATCATGAATTTACATATCTTAGGACATGAAAAGTTTGGTCACTTATGTAATTGTGAAAAACTCAAAACTCCAATAAAAAAAAAAAAAACTACAAGTTTGCACTCATCTCCGCATAGATCCAATAAATCATGCCAAATCTGGTGAAGATCCATCAACAGGGGGCGAAGTAGTTACATGGGCATGTAGACAGTATTATTATATAGATTCATTTTGATGTTCGACTTAACTACTTTCTTTCTACGTTAACAAAATTCTTTAAAAGATACGAGCGATATTCTAGTGGTTTGTATTTTTCAAACATTTAATATTTTAGTGTTTATCATTTAGATTTCAAAAAGACCGATATATTTAACTACCGTTTCCACGCTTACCGTAGTTACAAGGGTGAGAGGTGTCGAATCTGTATCCTTCAGCCAAGTGTTAGTCCATTCACGTATTAACGATACACCGTTAAC